CCCCTTCCACCACATGAGGACTCCATAGAGGTGCCATCTGTGAAGCAGAGAGAAGTGCTCACCAGACCTAAATCTGCTATCACCTTGATCTTGAACTTCTTAGTCTTCAGAATTGTAAGAAATAAACATCTATTATTTAGAAATGACCCAGTCTAATGTATTTTTTTGTAGCAGCCCAAACGAACTAAGGTAGTAACCATTCACTGATTCATTTTTAAATCAATGCGGCCACTCTGGCAGCCTGAGCAGTTTGGACAGTGAAGCGGTAGGTGGCTGCCCAGCTCCTCCCCACGCCCCCCCTCGCCACACACACACACACACACACACACACACACACACACGACTGGGGTCGGGGTGGGGACTGTGTAGTAACTGCTGGGGTGGTGGAGGGACCAGAAGCCACACGTTGCTGTTTTAGCTGGTGACAGCTTCTGAGCACTAAACATCCACTTTTAGGTCATATTCCTTCCACTGCCTTCTGAAGTCCAGGTGCCCAGTCTCACTGTCTCCGTTTTTCAGAAGGCAGTCAGTTCAGGGAAGCTGAGCGCCTTCCCCAGGGCATGCAGTCAGCCGGGGCAGAATTCAGATCAGAACTCCCGACAGCTGGGAACGCGCAAGGGATCTACCCTCCATACGAGCAGGCCTGAGCTGTTATCTCCTTTCCACTGTAACAGGAGCTTGGGTTGGGTAGAAAGGACCCAGCTGAGAGGAGGAGCAGTGTGGGGGGACACGGGGGACGGCTCCACCTGTCGCTGCTGCCCAGCAGGCTGGAGACACAGAATGGCCCCTCCCCTTGGCCCTCCATCCCCCATGCCATAGTTCTCATCCATTGTCACCGTACTGTCTCAGCGCTGCTATATTTAAGGAGTGCAGGCTCCGAGATCGCATTCTTCTCCCGGTGCCCACTGAGCCAAGAACAAGAATAGAACAAGGACCCTCTCAACCTCTGGAATCTTCTCCCCAGAGACCCTTAAGTGGGCACGCTGCTTCTGTGAGTCACCCCCAGAAATCAGGGCTGGGGAGGGATGCCTCCTGAGAGTGAGCCACTGGGGAGTGATTTCTGTGGGTGCATGTGTGTGTTTGTCTGTATGTGGTTGTGTGTTGTGTGTTGTGAAAGGGGCCCGGGAAATGTGTGCTGAGGCAGTCCCTGAGTAAAAATGGGAGGGTTCCAGAAACCCCTACTTCCTCCTCCCGCTGTTCTGTGTGGTCCTGGGTCTTCAGAGAGCTGAGTTCTCTGTGATGTGAAAGCTGCAAAAAAAAAAAAAAAAAAAAAAAGCCTGGGGGCTGCCCTGGGAACGGGAGTGCTTCCTGCGATGCAGCAGTGATCAGTGGGAGCCGGGCTGAGCTGGCAAGTTCCACGAACTTAGGACGGAACTGGCTGAGCCCTGCTTGGCCAACCCCACAGGCACGGAAAGAGAGCGGGCCCTCGGATCCCAAATCTTAGAGCCGAAAGGGATCTCATCCAGCACCTGGCAGGAAACCGAGGCCCAGACGGGAAAGTTGTCTCAGCTCATGACTGGCAAGGGCAGGATTCAGCCTCATGGAAGCTGGTGCAGCCACTAGCTGAGAACACGTCCCGGCCTGTGTCACCTGCCGCCCGAAGGATGTGTCTCTGCTCCCAGCCACCCACCCAATGCAGCTCCCCTGCCAGCAGTTCACGGAGGGTTTTCTGCTATGCGTTTCTCTTTCCCTCCTGAATAGGAGAGAGGCTTCCTCGGCAGATGGAGGCTTGGGAGGAAAGCAGAGGGGAGCCGGGAAGGCCACACAGTGGGACCTCTGGGCCAGATTTTTGCACCCCAGGAGAGGGAAAGGGGAGCGGTTTCCCCTCCACTCAGGCACACACAGTGTTCTGGGAAGAGGCACCCGGTCCTTCGGAAAAGGGCAGGGAGGCCACAAATTTGTCCCTGCTTAATCCCACGCATCAGTCAGTGCTTTAAAAAGAATTGGTGGCTCATCCACTAAATCCAGGGGTCTGGTTGCGGGAGGCCCTGAGGTCAGGGACGAGCGCCAGGCTCCTGCTCGCTGTGCTAATCAGGAACAGAGCATCCAGGGGAAGGGAGCCAGTGGCTGGTGCCAGGGAATGTTAACCCTCAGCCACTGGAGCCAGGGCCACCGTGTCCCAGGAAAGCTGGGGGTTGGGGGGTGGGTCCTTGCTCCACCTAGGGTGGTACCCAGCAGCTCTCGTCCTGGGCCATGAGGAGGAAAGAGCAGAATGGGCAGGGCTGGCCACTCTGGGTGCAGAGAGAACTTCTTCCATTAGGAAGGGGTGATATGAAGCCAAAGAGCTTGACTGTCCCATTATTTCAGTTGAGGTTATCAGCAAGAACCCAGGGAGCTTTAGGGGCAGCCCTTGGTCCCAGCTAACCCTGCAGCCACCCATTCTTTTCTGAGGCCCACAACTGCAGACACCAAAAAGGAGCAACCTTCTAGGAAGTAGGTGTAAAAGCCCATTAAGACTGAACCTCTGCAGCCCGAGGCCCTGACACCCCCACCACATGCCCCTTCCAGGCCAAGGGCTCTCTGTTGAAGCCAGTGGACTCACCTCCCATGTCATGGACTTAGAGAAATGATCACATGGGTGCTGTGTTCACATCCAGTCAGAAGACAGTCTACACACACACACACACACACACACACACACACACACACAGAGCCACCTCCAGCAGGCACCTCTGGAGGGGCAGGGGCCAGACAGAGCCAGCCACACAGAAGCAGACAGGAGCAGGCCAAGGCAGGCGGTTGTCCCTCTTCTGTTTCCGTCCCCACGCCTGGGCAGGAACCCTTTCATGTCAGAAGCCTACCAACCAGCATTCCCACCTGAGGAGGTGTGAAAGCCATTCCAGAGAGTCCAGCTTTAGCATCAGAGGGGCCCTCAGAGATCCAGCAGTGACTGAAGCCCAGATCTGAGAAAGAACTTAGTGCAAAAACCCATAGCCAGCGGGCGTGAAGGCCTCCCTCATCCCTCGCCTGCCTCTCCACGGCCAGGGGTTTGCTTCCTGAGCCTCCCCCAGAGCAGTGTGATCCAGCCCCAATGGATGCCATCAGGGGCCTAGAGCTGAGCCTCGGGAATGCAAAGGAGATATGTACATTGCAAGCCCCATACGAGGAGAAAGGCCCTGTGGCCCACTGTGGCCCCAGCCTCGACCACGGGATGGCCTCGAGTGGACATAAGACATAGAGGTCAGAAGGGCTAGGGGCTGGGCTAGGGATTGGCTGCCAGTCATGGCCCCAACACCATACTGGGTGACCTCGGGCAAGTACTGCCCCTGTTCATCAGCACAACGGGATAATAATGGTGCTGTTCTTATTTGGGTGATTACGAAGACTGGGGCCAATGCATTTGAAAACTAACATGGGCCTGGCACATAGTAAGTTCTCACTATTGTTACTTTTAATTCCCTTATAATCTTGCTGAAGAGTCAAGATGCACAGGTACAAAATAATTCCATAGAGAAGGCATTGTCTGAATCAACGCTAAGTTGTGGAGTCCTAGAAAATAAGCACAAAAGAAATTAGAAGAGGGAAAATTCCAGGTGGCCTATAGAAGGCTTCGGCAAGGCTTCTTAGAAAAACAGTGCTGATGTCGAACACCTGCGTTGTACTTACTAAGCCCAAGCACTCATCTAACCTTCACAACTACCCTGGGAGGTTGGTAGACCCATTTTACAGATGAGGAAACCAAGTCATTGAGTCTTTCCCAAGGTCACACACTTGTAAGCTGGGATGAGGAGCTGGGATCACACCCTGTGGGCTGGACCCAGAGTTTTTGTGCTCTCCCCAGTCCTGAGCCATTACCTCCTTTCCACTTTAATAGGGGCTCAGTTTGGGAAGAATGGACCCAGTTGAGAGGAGGGGCAGTGTGTGGGGATGTGGGGGACAGCCCCACCTGGGCCCTTAGTTGGGGTTTGAACCATGACTAGAGCTAAGCGGGCCAGGCAGAAGGGAAGGGGGAGTCAGGAGAGGAAACCAGTGCCAGCAAAGGCTCAGAGGTAGGACTGAGCGTGGCGGATGCAGGAAGAATAGGGACACCTGCCCATCCTGGGTCACAGACACAGCTGTGGACATCACAGTTTCAATCACTCATTGTCTAGGAAGCTGATGCCCAGGGAAGGGAGAGCCAGCCCCCACTTACACGGGCTTTCTCAGTGCCATGTCTACAGCGAGACAAGGGCGGGGCTGCGGCTGGAAGCCAGGGGCCTGCTCCCTAATGTGCGGTGCTCGCTCCGCCGGGGAGCGTGTGGGGTGGAGAAGCCAGGCTCAGAGCCTGAAGCCCGCCTTTGTCACCTTAGGCAGGTCCCTCTCCCTATCAGACCTCAGCTTCCCTGTCTGCCCACTAGAGAGAGGACACCCCCCCATCCTGCCAGCTCCTAGATATGCTGGGAAGCCTGCCTGGGAGGGCACGGCGGAAGCCTGGTGAAAGGACCGTGGACCTCTCCTTGACAGGTTGTTGTTCTCGGAGCCATGACTCTGCCGCACAGCTTGGGAAGTGCGGGGGACCCCCGCCCCGCTCAGACGGTGGAGGTCCACAGGCTGGAGCACCGGCAGGAGGAGGAGCGGAAGGAGGAGCGGCAGCACAGCCTGCGCATGGGCTCCTCGGTGCGCAGGAGGACCTTCCGCAGCAGGTGGGAGCCGCAGGGCCCAGGGTCCCGCCCGGCCGCTGCCCTGCCCCCGGGGCCCCAGGCTGAGGAGGGAGGCCCAGCCTAGCCCTCTGGAGGCTCCAGTCTGAGGGGGGAGGGACATTCCTGCTTTCTGAGCCTCCTGTCTGAGGGGGGAGTCGCAATTGGCTCTTTGGAGACCCCTGTGTGATGGAAGAGGCCCAGCCCTGTCCTCTGGAAACCTGTCTGAGGAGGGAAGCACATTCTCGTCCTCCGAAGACCCTGTCAGCATTGGGGGGGATGCAGCCTTGCTTTCTGAGACCACAGTCTAAGGAGGGAGGCACAGCCCTGCCTGCCGGTCCCTGAGGCTGAGGTGGGCAGATGCAGCCCTAATCTCAGGGAGCCCCCAGCCCAATCCGGCAGGAGCCATTCACTCCCCTCCTCCTGGGAGCAGCGAGGAAGAGCACGAGTTCAGCACGGCGGACTACGCCCTGGCAGCAGCCCTGGCTCTCACGGCCTCCTCCGAGCTGTCTTGGTGAGTCAGAGGAGCTTCCCAGGGAGCCCTGGCTGAGGGGGGCCTCCTGTGCAGCCCCCCACCTCCCTGCTGGGCTTTCACCCTGATTTAAAGAACCTGTCAAAAATCCCACTTCTAGAATAAGGGTCTAGGCAGGAATTTAAGCCCAGAGCTACCTGCCTGCAAAGCCCCCGTGCCATCCTCGGGAAGGGAGATGGCCAGCAGCCATCCCCAAGGGAGAGGGTGGGGGCCACCCAGGGACAGGCTTCCAGGCTTCACGTGGTAGGGGAGGGGAAATGGGACAGAAGGAGCAAGTAAACCAGGTCCCAGTTTCCCACGAGACCTCTGAGAGTGATGCTGTCAAGAGGCAGCATCCGGCTTGGGTCACGGTCCTTGCTGGCCTGAAGCAAGTCACTGAGCCTCAGTCCCTGCCCTGTAAACCTGTCAAACAGGGACACTAAGGCCTAGCCACTTGGCTATCATGAAAACAAGATGAACAAAAGTTTCTGAAAGATCCTCGAAAACGATGAGAACAGTCAACTGTTTATTAAGCACCGGCTGTATGCAGGGCCCTTCCAGGCTGTTTTGGAGGCGAGGGAAGAGGCAAAGTCACGCATGTCCTCCAAGGGTTTAAAGCACCCTGCGCTGCTTGGCATGGGGCATGGACCTGGCCAGGATGCCCCGGGCCCCCCATCCCTGCCTGAGCTCTGACGGCCTCTGTCACGGCAGGGAAGCCCAGCTGAGACGCCAGACCTCTGCGGTGGAGCTGGAGGAGCGAGGGCAGAAGCGGGTGGGCTTCGGCAATGACTGGGAGAGGACGGAGGTGGCCTTCCTGCGGACCCACCGGCTGCTGCGCCAGAGGCGGGACTGGAAGATGCTGAGGCGGCGGGTAAGGGGGTGGGCTGTGGAGCCCCCAGGGCCTGGGACCCGCAACGCACTGCTTGCTGCCATCCTCACCCACTTCCCAAGAGGCAGGACGTCCAGGACAGAGTCTAGGCTTTGGGTTTGCATCTATGCTCCTACACACTCCATGGTGTGACCCTATAGGGTCCAGGCACTAGGAAAGTCACGTTCCAAACCCAGTCTCACCTCAGCACTGAGAATTGTTACAATAACATCTGTTTTATTTTATTTATTTTGAGACAGGCCTCACTCTGTCACCGGGGCTGGAGTGCAGTGGTGTGATCTTAGCTCGCTGTAACCTCTGCCTCCCGGGTTCAAGTGATTCTCCTGCCTCGGCCTCCTGAGTAGCTGGGATGACAAGCATGTGTCACCATGCACATCCCTGTTCCTGAGCCTGGGTGCTCTCATCTATAAAATAGGGTGAGCTCCGGTGGCTCACGCCTGTAATCCCAGCACTTTGGGAGGCTGAGGTGGGTGGATCACCTGAGGTCAGGAGTTTGAGACCAGCCTAGCCAACATGGTGAAATCCTGTCTATACAAAAAATACAAAAATTAGCCGGGCGTGGTGACGCACACCTGTAATCCCAGTTACTTAGGAGGCTGAGGCAGGAGAATCACTTGAACCCAGGAGGCAGAGGTTGCAGTGAGCCAAGATCATGCCACTGTACTTCAGCCCGGGTGACAGAGTGAGGCCTGTCTCAAAATAAATAAAATAAAATAGATGTTATTATAACAGTTCTCAGTGCTGAGGTGGGATTTAAATGAGACCGGGTTTGGAAAGTGGCTTTCCCAGTGCCTAGAACACAGAAGACCCTCAGGAAACGCTAGCCCTGATGAGTCTCAGGATTTGAGCCCCTCTCCACCCCCCTCCCCAGCTCCCACTTATACAGGTTTTCTCAGTGAGCTCCGACACCCCCACAGTGGGCGGGAGATTTTATCATCCGAATTTACAGATAAGGACACTGAGGACCTGCATATGGTCCCGCAGCTAGTCAATACCTTGACCCCCAGCCAGCTGGCTCCAAAGCCCATGCCCTGCCCACCATGCCACACAGCTCAGCTGCTGAGGGGGCTGAGAACTCCAGCCCACATGGGTCTGACTGCAGACACTGGGTGTCAGGGGCGAGGGAATGCAAAGATGGCAGAGAGGTGGTCCCTGGCTCACAGCGTCATCCTCCTGCCTCCAGACAGAGGAGAAGGTCCAGGAGGCCAGGGAGCTGAGGGAGCTGTGCTCCGGCCGCGGGCCCTGGTTCTGGATCCCTCTTCGCTCCCACGCCGTCTGGGAGCACACTACAGTCCTGCTGACCTGCACCATCCAGGCCTCGCCACCACCCCAGGTCACCTGGTAAGCCGCTGGGGCAGGAGTGGGGTCTGGGCCTCTGGGGTCACAGGTGAGTTCCGTACGTCCCACACCTCCACCAGGACTTCTTGTTGTAGACTCATGAACCCTGAGCTCGGCCCACCCACCGGATAGAGCAGCTGATGGGGAACCAGGCCTGGGTAAGATTTTTAGAGACAAGGTCTCACTCAGTGCAGTGATCATCGCTCACTGCAGTCTTCACTCCTGGGCTCAAGTGATCCTCCCACCTCAGCCTCCCGATAGCCGAGACCACAGGCACAAGCCACCACGCCCAGCTTAGGCCTGGGCTATTATGAGCTGTACCCCAGCCAGCGTGGGGCTGGAAGACTGGGCCCCTGGGGAGCCGGCCCTTGTAAAAATATGATTCTGGTCTCATGAGAAGGCAGGTGCTGCAAGCTGGGCCTCTCCAGGGTTAAGAATGATGGTGAGAGGCAGGACAGGGGCCAGGGGGCAGGGAGGAGGTGGGCGGGGCAGGGCCTATGGAGAAGGAGCTCAGGCCTGGGCAGGAGCCTTGTGCTCCCAGTCTTGCTTTCTCTCTCTCCTAACTCGTGTGCGATCTCAGCCATGCCCTTAAACTACCTGGTCCTGCCTCCATTTCCTATTCTGAAGCCTGGATTGAAGACCTTCCGTCCAGCTTGTGTATGATGAGGATTTAATCCCACAACATGGAAACCTCAGAACTTGAAAAGGGCTGGGAGGCCGGGCGCAGTGGCTCACGCCTGTAATCCCAGCACTTGGGAGGCCAAGGCGGCCGGATCACGAGTTCAGGAGCTCGAGACCATCCTGGCCAACATAGTGAAACCCCCTGTCTACTAAAAATACAAAAAATTAGCTGGGCATGGTGGCGGATGCCTGTAGTCCCAGCTATATGGGAGGCTGAGGCAGGAGATTCTCTTGAACCCAGGAGGTAGAGGTTGCAGTGAACCGAGATTATGTCTCTGTACTCTGGGCGACAGAGGGAAACTCTATCTCAAAAAAATAAAAAACAAAAGAAATAACTGGACACAATCTCACCCTCAAGGAACTAACTCTTAGCCCAGAAAAGAAACATCAACATATACAGAAGTATATTCATGGGTGATATTTGAGATCAAAGAGTCTGGGTGAAAAGGAAGAGGTGGCTGCCTCAGCCTGTAGAATTCAGGAAGGCTTCTCATAAGAGGTTGCATATGAGTCAGATCTTGATGGGGAACAGCTCATGGTCTAGCAGGAGAGAGAACAGAGGCACAAATAATGGAAAACATAAAGGAAAACAGCAGCCTCTTGCACTTGAATCCACATTACACTGACCCAGAACTTCACTCTCATCTGAGGCATCAGGGCCATTCATGAGGTAGGAACTACTATGCCCATTTCACAGGTAAGGATGTCGAGGCTCAGAGAGATAGTGTGACTTATCTAAGGTCACACAGCCAACGTGAGCCAGGATTCAAACTCCGGTCTCCTGCCTCTAAGCCCATAACGCTTTCCACTGGCTTAGAGAGTAGGAGAGTGATTATTGTAAGTGTTACTTTCCTCAAAGCACATGTAATGCTTCAGAAAGCAGAGAAATTAGAAATCACTCAGGCCAGGAGCAATCAAGAAAGGCATCTTGGGGGAGCTGGCATCAGGGCTGGTCATTGCCAGCTGGCATTTATTCCAAAAAGTATGCCAAGTACCTTGCTGGGCCCTGGGGTTCTGTGGGGACTGGGCGGTCCCTGAGTGCAGGTTACTGGTTCCACTAGGAGGACTGCTCCCAGTGCTGGCCGGGCTAAGTAGAGGTCAGCATCTCAGCTGTCCTGGCCCCGCAGCCAAGCTCTGCTCGGCCCTGGCACTGAGCCCCACATGGAAGGCATTCTTGGAAGCCTCTTCGGAGGGGACCTTGTTTCTACCCCTGCCAACGAGGTTGCCACAACAGGGAGCTGAGCATTCTTGACAAGTGGCATAAGCCAAGCCCAGGCCTACCTCCAGCCTGGGCAGCTCAGGTAGCCCCTGGCACTCCTGGCTTGAAGGATCTGGTTTTCCATCATCAATCACATCAGGCAGGACCACACGTTGCCCCAGGACTGACCTCTAGAGATTCTGTCCAGCCCCAGGACTGGAGGAATATTCCGGCTCACCTGGCGTGTTAAGGTAGGCAAGTCTATTCATTCAACAATTATCATTATTACTTAGAGATAAGGTCTCACTCTGTAGCCCAGGCTAGAGTGCAGTGGTGCAATCACAGCTCACTGCAGCCTCAACTTCCTAGGCTCAAGTGATCCTCCCACCTGAGCCTCCAAGTAGCTGGGACCACAGCCATGTGCCACCACATCGGCTAACTTTTTAATTTTTTTGTAGAGACAGAGTCTCCTTATGTTGCCCCGGTTGATCTCAAACTCCTGTCCTCAAGTATTCCACCCATCTCAGTCACCCAAAGCTTTGGGAATACAGGCATGAGCCACCATGCCTGGCCTTATTTTCTTTAAAAAAAAAATTTTTTTTTTTAAGATGGAATCTCATTCTGTTGCCCAGGCTGGAGAGCAATGGCATAATTTCGGCTCACTGCAATCTCCACCTCCTGGGTTCAAATGATTCTCCTGCCTCAGCCTCCCAAGTAGCTGGGATTACAGGCGCCCACCAGCACACCCAGCTAATTTTTTTGGTGTATTTTTAGTAGAGATAGGGTTTCACCATTTTGGACAGGCTAGTTTGGAGCTCCTGACTTCAAGTGCTCTGCCTGCCTCTGCCTCCCTAAAGCATTCTCAGAAACTAAAATCTAACACTAACATTTGTGAGGCCAAAAAAAAGATTTAGGTAAATAACAGAAATCTCACTCCTTTATGAGGTCGTTGCCGAGCCAGGCCCTGGGCAGGCCCGTCAGCTCCCCCGTCTCAGTCAAGCGTGTTTTGTCACCGGCTGCCACTTCGGTGGTCCTCTGCCTGTGCCGTCAAGAGCCTGACTGCACAGGCGGAGACTGAGGCGCAGAGAGAGGGAGGGGTGAGCGTTGAGGTCTGCGGCTATCTTGGCCATGCCAGAGCCACAGCAGCTGCTTTTTCCAGGAAAAGCAAAGCTGGCCAGGCTGAGGTGTCTGGAATGTTCCTGACAGGTGTGTGGTGAGGGGCCGAACTCTGGCCCCCCAGGCCAGGGAGAGCTGGAGAGATTGGCCACCGAGAGATTGGCCCTGTGGGATGTTCAGGCTCCTTTCGGGAGGGGACCAGGCTGGGGGCTGCATGGTGGGGTGCGGGTATGGCTATGTTTGGTTGCCCTGGAGACAAACAGGGCATGGGTGAGGCCAGGGCCAGAAGGAAGTGGGCTGAGGCTAGGGTGCCCTCTCTCTAGGAGGCCTCCTCCTCAACCTCAGCCACTGCCCCAGGACAGAGAGAAGCATTCGCCCCATGAGACTCTGGACACAGAGGCCCAGAGAGGGGTACTGAGTTGCCCAAGGTCACACAGCAAGCTGTGTCAAAACCCAGGCATCCTAAGTGTCACTCACCCTCACTCCTCAGTCCCTACTCCTTAGGCCTCCAGGCCCCCAGGCCACCCCCCTGCCCTGTCCACACAGCAGGGGGAACAACACCTGAGTTCTCAGAAAACGAGGGGAGCATCCAGCGCAGGGTGATCTGCTTGACTACCCTTGGGGATCACAAAGGACATTAAGAAAAACAATATATATATATATATATATATATATATATATATTTTCTAGACAGGATTTTGCTCTATCACCCAGGGTAGAGTGCAGTGGCACAATCATGGTTCACTGCAGCCTCAAAATCCTGGCCTCAAGCGATCCTCCTGCCTCAGCCCCCTGAGTAGTTAAGATGACAGGCACACCCCACCATGTCCAGCTAATTATTTTAAAGAATATTTTGTAAAGATGGGGTCTTGCTGTGTTGCCCAGGCTGGTCTTGATCCCCTGGCCTCAAGCAATCCTCCAGCCTCGGCCTCCCAAAATGTTGGGATTACAGGCATGTTACCACACCCGGCCTCATGAGGGGATTTTCAAAATACTGATCCCCAGGGTCTCACCCACAGAAATTCTGATTTCATTGGTCTGGGATGCAGCCTGGAGTTTGGTTTTGTTTTTAACGGCTTAAATAAGCTAGAAGCTTATTTTCTTCCTTCTGAATATCTGGATGCAGACAGCACAGGCTGCTGCACAGATTCCCCAGGGACGCAGCTTCTCAGCACCACTGCTGGAGGGGCGGCTCTGAGCTTCGGGGTGTCAGACAGCCACCAGCACCACCCTGTTCCTGCCAAGGACAGAGGGAACAATGACACAAAAGACGTAAAAGGGGCAAAGGGTGTCATCAGGAGCAGCCACATGACTCTCGTCCTGGCTTGACATTGACAATGCTAAGTCATACGGCCACACATAGCGGAAAGAGGCAAGGAGATATGTCTCATATGGGGTGGCTCATGGGTAAATTCCATATTCAATGGCCTGAAAATGGCTATTGGGGCACAATTAGCAGTTTCCGATGCAAATTTCCACAGGTTTCTGTTCAAAAACTAGGCATGGAGATTTTTGAAAGCTCCCCCGGCTCCTATAATGAGAGCCAAAATAAAGAACGGCCAACCTGGGGGATTGGGAAGAGAGGCAGGGGTCGGGGGTTCCTTCCCTGGCAAGCCCCTTCAGAGGGAAGGGAATAGCTGGGGCCTGGTCCTAGGGTACCCCTGGGAATGGCTTGGCAGGGGGAGGGGCACCTGCTCCTAATTAAAGGCTCCCTCTTCTCTGCCCCTAGAAGGGAAAGAAACCCTTGAGCACCTGCAGAGTGTGGGCACGGGGGAAAGGCTTTACATGCTCATCCCATTTAATTGTCACAGCAGCCCTGTGAGGCCGGTGCTCTTGTACCCCCATTTTGTGGGTCAGGACAACTGAGGCTCAGAGTGGCATAAGTGCTCCTCCTATCACATGGGCAAGTGAGCAACACAAAACTGCAACTGGAGGCCAGGTGCGGGGGTTCACGCCTATAATCCCAACACTTTGGGAGGCTGAAGCAGGTGGATCATCTGAGGTCAGAAGTTCAAGACCAGCCCAAACAACACGGGGAAACTCCATCTCTATTCAAAATACAAAAATTAGCTGGGTCTGGTGGCGGGCGCCTGTAATCCCAGCTATTCGAGAGGCAAAGGCAGGAAAAATTGCCTGAACCCAGGAGGCAGAGGTTGCAATGAGCTGAGATGGCAGCACTGCACTCCAGCCTGGGCAATAGAGCAAGACTCCATCTAAAAAAAAAACAACCACAAAACCCGCTGCTGGAATCCCAGTTCAAGAGGCCCCAGACCCCTCCTGCTTAGACCCACACCTTCTGCCACAGACCACTATGTGTCCACAGGTACAAAAATGACACACGGATTGATCCCCGCCTCTTTCCTGCCGGAAAGTACCGAATCACCAACAACTACGGGTTGCTGTCCCTGGAGATCAGAAGGTGAGACTGGGGACCTGGGGAGACCCATGACCCTGGGCCCTGCCACCACCAAGGCCAGAACGGGATCCCAAACCCGTCCTCGGAGCTGTGGCCCAAGTTCTCCTTCTTCAGAAGTCTCTGTGGTGCTGGTCAAAATACTGATCCTTGGGACAGGACAGACACCCCTGACCCCTGGCCCCCAGAGATTCAGATTCCAGGAATCGATCTTTAACACACACACCCACTGTGTGATTCTGACGCCTTGGGATACACGGTGAGAAATTTGAACTCAGAGGCTAGCCGTGAGGTCTGGATGCTGAGCTGGGCATGCTGGAAAGGCTCCTTGTGGGGGAGAGAAAACACCATAACACACACACGTGCACCTGTCCACGCACATATGCACACATGCACATATACATGTGCACATGCATGTGCTTGTATACACAGATGTACACATGTAAGGCGAAGCAGTTACCTGGGAGAGAGTTCAGCCTTTCAGGAGATGGTGAGTCCTAAGCGTGATTTTGAGGGAAGAGGCAGGGCGAGCGGGGGGAGGGCACGTGAGACTGTAAGAGCCCAATCCTCCCCCAGGCCTGTGTCATCCACCATTCATATCAGCTGCCACACGCTGACCTCCTCCCAGGTGCCAAGCCCTGTGCTAGGTGCTTTTCATATATGATCGATAATCCCTGCCGCCATGCTTGAGGGATGCACTGGCACCCCATGTTACAGGTAATGAAACAGGCTCAGAAAGTTAAGGGCCTCGGCCCGGCACGGTGGCTCATGCCTGTAATCCCAGCACTTCGGGAGGCTGAGGCAGGTGGATCACTTGAGGTCAGGAGTTCGAGACCAGCCTGACCAACAATGGTGAAACCCCATCTCTGCTAAAAATGCAAAAATTAGCCGGTCGTGGTGGTGCATGCCCGTAATCCCAGCTCCTCTGGAGGCTGAGGCAGGAGAATCGTCTGAACCCCGGAGGCAGAGATTGCAGTGAGCTGAGATGACGCCACTGCACTCCAGCCTAGGCAACAAGAGCAAAACTCCATCTAAATAAAAATAAAAAGAAAGAAAGTTAAGGGTCTCACCTAGTTTGAGCCATTTCTCTCTATGTGGGTTGTTTCCCAAACACCAAACCCTACACCTCAACCAACTCAGGCCTCAGAGACACAAAGAGAAGCAGAACACTGATCTTACCCTCCAGAAGTGGGGAGACCTACATACCTGACCACACAAGGCTGCAGTAGGGAGGGGCCGTGTGGACCGCACAGTTGGGAGGGTGTGCAGGCCTGGGGTGGGGCCTTCAGAGGCAGGCGGGATTGGCCTTAAAAGCAACAAGGATTCCTGCCCTGAGTGACCAGGGGCAAAAAGAAGGCACCAAGGGGCCTCTGCTTGCTGATGGGGCCAGAGGTGCCACAGCCTACCATCTCCCCTCTGTCACCAAGGTGCCCCAGGATGGAACTGGCCCAGGCTTCCACTGGGGACATGACTGGGTTGTCCTGGTTGGTGGTGAGACCCATGCCTGAGGAACACCTGGGTGTCTGGCCCAGTTCTACCCAGATTGCAATCTGCCTTGACCAAGTTTGTCTGCTGCTCCCTGAGAAAGGAAGAGGCTCCCGCTTCAGAATTCTTGTTTGAAGCAGAGTTGAATTCCATTTGCTGTGTGATCCTGGGAAAGTCACTTAACCTCTCTGATCCTCCAGAGTCAGCAATAACTGCAATTGGCATATTATATTTTCAAAGCACTTTCTCCTGAGATGGTTTAGGTGGTGTCGTGTCCCCAGTTTTTCAGAGGACACCAAAGCATGGAAAGGTGCAGTGGCCAACCTGAAAACACACAGCTTTTCAGAGATGGTGCCCAAAGTCTCTTCCTGGCACCATGAGGCTTCCCTTAGTTCCAGCTTTTCCCACCCACATATGGAGACTTGTGTTTCCCATGGAGCCAGCAGCCTTGGAAGGGACTTCTCCCTGTCTCCTTTTCAGATGCACCATTGAGGACTCAGCCACTTACACCGTGCGAGTGAAGAATGCCTATGGCCAGGCCTCCTCCTTCGCCAAAGTCCTCGTCCGCAGTGAGTCCTCCCATCCACAACAGTCAGGCTGGGCCACAACAAACCCAAGCTGAGCAGACAAGGGCATGGGTCTGCGTGAGACCCGAGGAGGGCCCTTGGCACAGGGCTGTTTGGCCTGGCATTGGTGATCAGGGCAGCCCTAGAGACTCCCACTTCCCTGGGAACAGTACCTGATTCTAACCTCAGCCAGCCAGTGGCAGGGCTGGGACTTGAATTCAGCTCTCTCTGCAGGGTCATCACTGGCATGGTGGGCACCTTGGTGTGAATTGAGTGGATGAATTAGCAAAATTAGCTGCACCTGAATTCTGCAGGCAGGTGCAGCTTCCGCTCCAGGGCACATGGCTTGGAAAATAAAAAACAGCCTGAATTTTAGCCCCCAACTTGCCCTCTCAGGGACACATTTGCATACTGTGCACAACCTACACAACTGTTTAAGGTGAACCCACCTGCCTGCCATGCCAAAGAGCATGCTTGGCCCACCAGATTGCAGTTAGGTCAGGATCCATCTCAGGGCCTCTGGGAGGGTAGTCTGGTCCTGCCAACCCAGCTGAGGGGTCCTCAGGGCAAAGGCCAAACCCCAGCAACTCCCCACCTGACCTCCACTGCCCCATGTGGATTCTGGTGCACATTTTCCAGTTGGGCTTGGGCCCCTCCTGGAGGTTACCCCGTGGGCATCTGAAGTCACAGCATAAAGCAGGGAGACACTCAGGAGTCAGACAGACCCAGATTCACATCCTGCCCCTGTTGCTGACTGGCTGTGTAATCCTGGGAAGCCACCTCACTTCTCTGAGCCTCTATTTCCTCATCTGTGAAATAGAGAATCCAACGATCCTACCACCTCTTTCAGATGCTCACATTAATTAAATGAGATGATACATATAAGCCTTGGCGCATGGTACCCACTCCCATGACCAGGGCAGGACACTGCCCAAGGGGATCACACCTTTGTGCCCAGAAGAATGTTGTGCCCTGAGCTCCAGGACCCCCAGGAAAGAGAAGCCCACACGTGCACACACACACACACACACACACACACGCACTCATAGACGTATGTGCACTCATGCACACACTCCTAGGGCAGCTGTCTTAGGCAGTAGACAGGTGGAGCGCAGCCCACCCTCCCTGCCTCTCATCAGACCTCGTTAAACTGTCCTGCACAGCCCTCTCCACCCCCTGCCCTGTTCCCTAAATAGCTCTTAGGAGGCAGATCTGCTGCCAGGCCAAGCTCTTGTGCGGAAATTTGAGCTGTCTCCATAGACCGTGCCCAGTGTCAAGCCCAAGGTCAGGCACTGGGACCCTGCCACCCTCTGCCCACCCATCCTTCCCACCACTTCTTCAAGATCCCCGTCCCTCCCTCCATCAAGGCTGGCAACTCCAGGGTCCACCAGGCTTGCTCTTGGCCCCAGTTTCCAGCCAATCCCACCCCTCCTGCTCCACTCACTGCCGCTGCCACCCTCTGCTCTCATCTCTGTAGTAACTTGGGTGGTTTTAGCGGCCTGGGAGGCAGGAGTCCCGGGTTCCAAACCTGACTCTTCCACTGACCCGCGTGGTCTCGGGCAGCCTCCTCCCCTTCTCTGGACCTTGCTAAGGAAGAGCCTTTCCAGGGACCAGTATCAAGTCAGAGCTTCCAACTGCTGGGGTGTTGCCTGGGTGACTGTGCCTCAGTTTCCCCCTCTGTTTGAGAGGATGATAATAGTACCGACTGACAGGGCTGTTGTGAAGATTAAATGAATCCATGTGTTTATGTGTTTAATTGGCCCATTTAATCCTCACAGCATGGGGCAAGCACTGTGTGAGCCAGAGCTGCTGTTACTATTCTCCGGTGGTCTGTGGCAACAGTACCTTGGATTTCACCCTTCAGCCCCCAGACGCCTCGCAGTGCTGCCCCTCCCCCGCCGCTCTCCCTGATCCCACCAGAAATCCCGGCGTCTCTGACCAGGCTTGACCACTGTGAAGACAGTGTGTGATCCTGGGGGCAAGTTTGGGTAGGGAAAGAAAACCAGCACGTATTGAGAAGCTTCCTTGTGTCAGGCTATGGCTGGGGGTTTGATTCATGTGAACCTGCTCATTCCTAGCCCCACCACCATCAGGTAGGAATTACTGTCCCATTTTACTGTTGAGGAAACTGAGGCACAGAGGTGTGAAAGAACTTTCCCAAAGCCACAAGGGGGAGCCACCGACAGGTCAGGTCTCAAACTCATATCCAAAGCCCATGTCCCCAAAATAGCATAGGAATGTGGAGTCTGAACCTTCTCCAACTCCGTTTGCCTTTGGCTTTCAGCTTACCTGGGGAAGGATGCTGGCTTCGATTCAGAGATCTTCAAAAGTAAGTCGGCTGGGGAAGAGAGGACCTGGACTCTTTGTTCAGGCTTTGCTCCTCCACCCCCATGGTCCCTGTTTAGAATATAGCCATCCCCTGTCCATGAAAGGATGTCCACTGGGGTTTATCTAGGAGCTGGTAACACTTTCACCTGATTTCTAAGGGCCCCAGGGTACCCCAGAGGTGTCCCCCAGCTACTGAGCTGTCCTCTGACCAAACTGGGCTAGAAAGGCAAAGCCGGGGGTGCTGGGTGCGGTGGCTCACACCTGTAATCCCAGCACTTTGGGAGGCCAAGGCGGGCAGATCGCCTGAGATCAGGAGTTCAAGACCAGCTTGGCCAATAGGGAGAAACCCCGTCTCTATTAAAAATATGACAATTAACCTGGCATGGTGGTGGGCACCCTCACCAGGTGCCTTCGCCCTTCAGACCCCGGGAACAGAGCACCTATGTGCTTGTGAGAGGTGAGGGCATGGGTTAGTGCAGGGTGGCATCTGTAATCCCGGCTACTCAGGAGGCTGAGATAGGAGAATCGCTTGAACCCAGGAGGCAGAGGTCACAGTGAGCCAAGATTGCGCCATTGCACTCCAGCCTGGGTGACAAGAGTCAAGCTCCATCTCAAAAAAAAGAAAGGCAAAGCCAGAAGCCAGAAAAACCAATGGGCTTGGCCTTCAGATGTTTGCCATTCGGCTTCCCTGGCCCCTACCTAGATAAGTCTCTTCTCCTCCTACCCCAAGGCCAGGTCCCCTTCTCTCAGTCAAGACCCAGAAGAGAGGGGATGCCCCATAAAAGGCCTCACTCCCATCTAAGACCCAGGCCAGGCTGGCTGCCTCAAAAACTTCTTCCCCAAATTTCATCCCACCCCAGGATCAATGTTTGGCCCCAACGTGGAATTCACATCGGTGCTGAAGCCAGTCTTTGCTCGTGAGAAGGAACCCTTCTCCCTGTCATGCTTGTTTTCAGAAGATGTGTTAGATGCTGAGAGCATCCAGTGGTTCCGAGACGGTGAGGACCCCCAGTTGTGGCCCCCAGCCTCTAGAGTTAGCCCCTCCGAAGCTCAACTCAGAGCCAGAGAGGACCCCTAGCAGACAGAGACCTTCCCCAACCAGTACCAGCTGAGCTAAAGCGCTGGAGTCAGAGGAGAGTGGGAGTGCAGCCGGGCATGGGCAGACCATGGCACACACAAATGGCCACCAAGCATCTGTGGGGTGCCAGGCCCTGGGCTGGGGCTAGGGTGAAGGGTAGATGCAGACATGCACGAGCCCTGGGGGCTGTGTCCACCTGGGAAGAGGGGACAATTATAGTCGCTGGCAGTGACCAGGCACCTGCTCAGCCATTTACATGCATCGTTACCTCCTTAAGAGTGAATGAGGAAGGTGAGCGTGGTGATTCACACCTGTAATCCCAGCACTCTGGGAGGCTGAGGCAGGTGAATCACCTGAGGTCAAGAGTTCAAGACCAGCCTGGCCAACATGGCGAAACCCCATCTCTACTAGAAATACAAAAAATTAGCTGGGTGTGGTGGTGGGCACCTGTAATCCTAGTTACTTGGGAGGAGGTGGATGTTGTGGTGAGCTGAGATCGCTCCATTGCATTACAGCTTGGGCAACAAGAGTGAAACTTCATCTCAAAAAAAAAAAAAAAAAAAAAAAAAAGAGCAGTGAGTGAGGGTACCCGAAGCAATGGGAACAGAGCCCAAGGCCAGGAGGCAGGAGGACACCACAAGCGATCGGAGTGGGCTGCTTTTCAGAGGCAGGTGGAGATGCAGATAAACAGTTGCTGACCCGTGGGCTGGGAGGCCTCTGGGGATGCCTCAGGTGGGGCCTGGAGAGGCCTGGTCAGAGCCAAGGCAGGAAGACGTGGCCTAGTGAGGGAGGAGGAGGATGGCTGAAACTCCCACCCCATCCGTGACCAGGCCTGTGGTGTAAGGACCCAGGGTACAGCGCCCCTCTGGCACCCCCAGTTCTGAGCCCAGGGAGGCCATACCTGCTGGGAGCAGGGAGTGGGGGAACCGTCAGGATCCCTGACCGCTGCAGTAACAAGGCTGAGACATCTTCCCAAACCTCTAGATCTTCCAGAACGGAGGTGCTGACCGGAGAGCAAGGCCTCCGCATGGGGAAAAGAGAAGAGCTGGCCCCACAGTGTGGCCACGGGGCAGGGCCCGCCCTGAGCCCTGGACTCCCCGTCTGAGTCCCCATCCACCTCCTAAGCTCCCGTCCCGTGAGCCCTCACTCCCCTCCCTGACCCCAGCCGCTCGACAAGTCCTCCGCCTCCCTCACCGAGGCCCCAGCTCTCTCAATGAGACCTTGGCCCCTTCCTGAGCTCCCACCCACCCAACCAGGCCCCCCTTCTTCGAGTCCCCTGACCCCACACAGAGACCCATCTCTCTTGCTCCTACTTCCTCAGAGAATCTACAACTCCTCACCTTGTCCCCAGCTATGTCCCTAAACCTTCACTTCTTCATTGAGCCCCAGCCCCACATTGGCCCTTCCCTATTCCCCAAGCCCTCTGCAGAGGGGCGTTCCCTGACACCTTAGCAAAGTCCTGGAAGCCACCACCCCCACCTCAGGCCCAAGCTGAGCCTCAGGCTGCAGCCTCACCAGCCTCTCCCTCTGCCTGGCCAGGGTCTCCAGACCCCTTGAGTTTCCATGGTTCCCAGGTGAGACCAGGGCCCCCCACAAATTCACAGTGGCTCCCCACTTTCCCTCCACAGGGAGGCTACTGAGGTCCTCGAGACGTCGGAAGATCCTCTACACAGACCGCCAGGCGTCCCTGAAGGTGTCCTGCACCTACAAAGAGGATGAGGGGCTCTACATGGTCCGAGTACCCTCGCCCTTCGGACCCCGGGAACAGAGCACCTACGTGCTCGTGAGAGGTGAGGGCATGAGTGGGCACAGGGTGGCAGCAGGAGCCCAGAGACCAGGGCTCTGTCCCGAGTTGCTGTGGAACCTTAGGCAAGGGCCCTGCTGTCTTGGGGCCTCAATTTCTCTATCATAAAATCCGGGCTTTGGGTTGGTGTCTCCAAGAATCCTCATGACACCCTTTGGCCCTCCAAAGGGACATGGCCCGAGAGTTAGCCCAGCTGGAGCCAGGGAGGCAGGGAGCTGAGTGTGGGGCTGGAGTGATTCTGGCTACCGCTTAGGGTCTGGGTTCAAATCCTGGCTTTGTCACTTCACCAGCTGGGTGACCTTGGGCAGGTCACTCACCTCTGCGAGACTCAGTTTCCCCATCCACAGAGTGGAAGGCTACTCTTGGGCTGGAATTAACTATTCCACTTGTTCAGGTACTTGGTGTAAAATGGGCCCCCAAGAAAATAATGCTGTCATCTGTCCCTCAGATACTGTTATGGGGTTGGGGGGGCTAACATTTAGACCCCAGTCCTCAAGATCAAAACTGAGCCCCTGGAGGATGAATGAGAAGAGGATGCTGGGTGGGAGTGGGAAGGGCTTGTCACCAAATGGCCACTGACTAGAAGGACCTCCCCTCTCACCCCCGGGTTTCAGATGCCGAGGCTGAGAACCCCGGGGCCCCAGGCTCCCCACTGAACGTCCGATGCCTGGATGTGAACAGAGACTGCCTCATCCTGACTTGGGCCCCGCCCAGCGACACCCGGGGCCACCCCATCACTGCCTACTCCATCGAGCAGTGAGTCGCTCTCTTGGGGGACGGAGGCCCTAGGGGTAGAATTCTGTCTGGTTGTGGGAGCCATAGCAAAGAGGAGGCCCCACGCCTGGCCTCAGGGAGCCCCCCAACCCCCGCCCCTCAGAACAGGACAGGGAGCAGGCCGTGCTGTGTAATTTAAGGGTAATAGAAGGACATCCAGGCCTCCAAGTCATGCCGATACCTGGAATTCTACCCTGGAGTTGGCCCCTGCCCTGTGGACCCTTTATGGTATGAGCTGACCCGGAGGGGCAAAACCCCCGAGCACAGTGAATTCGTGGGCTGTTTTCCTTCCTGAATGACAGAGAGAGAGATGGAATAGCACTGACCCCAAGGGAGGAGGCACACAGGACAGAACAGGTAGAGGGCCCAGAACCTCTAGCCTCCTTCCCATGCTGCCCGCTCTGAAGGCCCAGCTTGAGAAAATAGCTAATGCTGCCACAGACGGGCCCATGACCGTGCTAACGGCACGCCTCCTCTCTAAAGGGGAGGGGCACTGTCTAACGTCCCCTTCTGCGGATGGAGAAACCGAGGTATGCAGGGAGATGACTTTGCCCAAAGTCACATTTGTCATTAGCGGTAGAGACATTTGGACCCACATGTGACGACGGCCCCAATCAGCCGGTGACAATAAGAATAATGTGCACTGTCATACTGCCTGGGACATCAGTACCAAGAGGACACAGTGAGCCCAGGCTTGGAGAGTCAACCTAGAATGCACACCAACTTAGGGAGGGGACAATCTCAGGTGATTCCTAACACTGTGTGGCCTTGGGCAGGTCTTGTCACTCTCTGAGCCACAGATCCTCCATGTGTACAGTGAAGGTGGCCACACGTGCCCCCAGGACTGGCAGGGAGATGAAGCGAGGGCTGGGTGCAGCGGGCACAGCACAGATGAAACAAGGGCTGGGGATGTAGGCTCACCACGATGTCCCGGGAAAGGCGCTGCCGCTGGGCGCATCAGGGATGGTGTGAAGGCCTCCTGGGTGCCCGAGGTTGGAGCCAGGCTCTTCCATAGGAAAGAAGGACATTTTTTTTTTTTTTTTGAGACAGGGCCGCCTGGGTTGGAGTGCAGTGGCTCAACTCAGCTCACTGCAACCTCCACCTTCCGAGTTCAAGTGATTCCCTGCCTCAGCCTCCCGAGTAGCTGAGATTACAGGCGCCCGCCATCACACCCAGCTAATTTTTTGTATTTTTAGTAGAGATGGGGTTTCACCATGTTGGCCAGGCTGGTCTTGAACTCCTGACCTCGTGATTCACACACCTTGGCCTCCCAAAGTGCTGGGATTGCAGGCATGAGCCACTGCGCCAGGCCAGAGAGAAGGACTTTTATTGGCAGAGATGAGCTGGGCAGGCTCCCCCCCGGTCAGAGAATGGCCCTCGTAGAGGCTCACACTGGGAAGGTGTGAGATGTAGGCAGGGGATGAAGGCTAAAAGGGGGACCTGTCTCCCACAGGTGCCAGGGTGACTCTGGGGAATGGGTCCCCTGCCACGAGGCCCCCGGAGGGACTTGTCGGTGCCCAATCCAAGGCCTCGTCGAAGGTCAGAGGTATCGGTTCCGGGTGAGAGCCATCAGCAGGGCGGGCAGCAGCCTCCCCTCCAAAGCCTCAGAAGTGGTTGTCATGGGCGACCATGATGCAGCCCGGAGGCAGACAGGTGGGTACCGAGGTCCTAAGTGACTTTCTAGAGCATCAGTCCGGGAACCCTCAGGACTACCTCACACAGGAGACAACCCAGTCCTCAGGAACCCCGAGTCTGATGAAGGCAGCACAGCCCAGCCCTCAGTAAACACTAGTCTAATGAAGGAGACAAAGACCAGTCCCCGAGAACCCCCAGTCTGATGGAGGAGGCACAATCTAGTCCTTAGGAACCCCTAGCGTGAGAAGGAAGATACAGCTAATCTAATGGAAGAAACCAAACCTGTCCATGGGAGAGAGCAGTCTGAGGGAGCACCCCAGCACCTCTCAGATGTCCTTAACCTTGAGTGTGGGGACATGGCCTCTCAGCCCTCTGGAGCCATGCTGACTTGGGTGGCCAGAAGCTCCACCATGCCAGGGTACCTGGCCCCAGGCACCTCCTCTCTGTCTCCACGTGTCCCAAGAGACAGAGCATCTCCCAGGGCCTGAGAGCAGCAGGGCTCCACTTGGGACTCCTGAGAGAGCTGAGGCCAGAGGGCACCTGCCTGCAGTCACACAGTGAGGGGTGCCAGGCCAGGACCGGGATGGGGCAGGACACAGAGCCTGGTGTGGGGTAGGCCCTGGCCCGACTCCTCCTGTGGCCATGCTCCCTTCTCATCCTAGAGGTCCCGTTTGACCTGGGAAACAAGATCACCATCAGCACAGATGATTTTGAAGGTACTCGGGACCCTCCCACACACTGGGCCTCCTGTATAGTTCTGGAAACTCTGGGACTCAAACTGGCAAGGGGGCAGAAGCTGTCCCTGTGCAGGGTGTGGGGGGTGAGGGCAGGTGGGGTCTAGTCAGAGGGAGCCAAAGTGCTGGGGTCACGGTGGCTCATCTGGCTGTGGCCCTCCTGAAGAAGGGAACACGTTGGGAAAAGTCCTGGGCAGGAAAAGTCCTGGGTGACCTGGATCCAATTACTGCCCATCTCTCAGGGATGGGTGGGGGTGCAGTTCCCTCCTCCATGGAATGAGGCACTGAGATTAGGGGGTCTCTGAGGTCCCAGCCATCTCAGCCCCAGGTGACTCTGATTCCAGAAACTGTAACCATCCCCTCACCACCGACCAATGTCCATGCCAGCGAGATCCGAGAGGGCTACGTGGTTCTGGCCTGGGAGGAGCCGAGACCCCGGGGCAGAGCTCCGCTGACATACTCCCTGGAGAAGGTATGGGACCCCAGGGCCCCAGCCCCAGGCCAGCCTGAGAAACATGTGCAGTGGGAATCTGGTCAGTGTCCCCTAGGGAGGCTGTTGGAGAATAAAAGAGAATTCCCTGCCTGGAAGGGCCCAGGCATGGCCCTACACAGAGGCATGGAGATGGATTGAGCAGCCTTTTGAGGCTACCTTTAGCCCTGGAAGGCCAGTCACTGCTGGTCATTCCTGAGGCTGAACTGCACAGACAACAATGACAATATGATCCACCACCCCCTGGGTACCTCCCTGCCCGCACGTCCGCTGGCATCAGGCCACACATTGGGGCCAAGCACTTCTTGGTGGGACTATATTGGGAGGGAAGTGAGGCTGGTACCCTCCAGCCAGGGACAGGCACCAGCAGCACTGCAGGGCCTACAGAGTGATTAGCATGAAGAGGTGGTTCTCACTGGGGACCAAGTGAGGGCAGGGGAGGCCCCGCTGGGGATGAGGCAGGTCTTGTGGAGTGGAATTCACAGTAAGGGAAGGCAGTATGGCGGAGCAGAAGACAGCATGGATGTCACAATCTATTCAAATCCTGGTTTTGCTGTGTGATCCTGCGTGACTGTCCTAACTTCTCTGAGCCTCAGTTTCCTTCAGTATAGAATGAAGGCCCTGCCCTGTGAAGATGAAATAAAGCACAGCCCCCAGACCAGGCATGGTGGCTCGTGCCTGTAATCCCAGCACTTTGGGAGGCCGAGGTGGGCAGATCATGAGGTCAGGAGTTCAAGACCAGCCTGACCAACATGGAGAAACCCCATCTCTCTACTAAAAAAAGAAAAATTAATTGGGTGTGGTGGTACGTGCCTGTAATCCCAGCTACTCAGGAGGCTGAGGCAGGAGAATCACTTGAACCTAGGAGGCAGAGGTTGCAGTGAGCCAAGATTGCATGATTGCACTCCAGCCTGGGCAACAGAGCTAGACTCCAAGTCTCCATCTAAAAAAAAAAAAAACACAGCCCACAGCCAGGGCCAGCAACCCTCAAGATCTGTCAGTGCTTCCCAAGGAGGTGTCCTTGACGGATCTCCCTGAAGCCAGAAACTCAGTTTATCTTCTCATTACTTTCTGTGCCCAGCTGGGTGGACAGAGAAGGTTTAGGGAATAAATGAATTTAAAATTTCCAGGGAGGAATCTCTGTCTCTGGTTATCCAAACGAGACTCTCTTCACATTCACAGGTAACCCTTTATCTCCAACATAGGAAAGCTACAGATAATTGAGGATTGGTTTTGCGAGGTAGTGTATCACGGTGAAGATGTTGGTGTCAGGCTACTTGGGTTCAAATCCCATCTCTGCTATTTACCAGCTGTGTGACCTTAGGCAAGTTACTTAGTCTCTCTGTGCCTCTGTTTCTTCTTCCATAAAATGATTATAACAATCATACACCTCTTGTAGGTCTAATTAATCTGAGGATCAAATTAATTAGAACACATAAAGACTTAGAATAGAACCTGGCACATAGTAGGTGCTTAGCAGTGTTCATGGTTCCTTACAGCAATTTCCTGTGCTACCTGGGTTCTAGGCCACTGACAGCCAGATGGGCTTGGGAGGGGAAAGACCACCGAGGATGGAATCAGTGGGTCCCCTGGTGCATCTAGGTCTTAACTCTCTCACCCAAACTCAGCAGAAAGTCTCTGGGTGCCTCACTCATCTCTATCACCCTGGGCTCTTCACCCTCCATCTGCCCAGAGACTCAGGGTTTCTGGCTGCCTTCTGGGTCCCTGACGCTGTGGAGAGTAAACAGGTTTGCAGTCACCCACACCTGAGTGAAGTTAAATACCATAGATGCAGGACTTTTGGCCAAGTTACCGACACTCTCTGAACGTGAGTTTCCTCATCAGCAGGGAAATTAACACCTTCCCTGCAGGGTTATTGTGAGCATTCATTCATTTGTTCATTCATTTGTCCCAGAAACATAGATGGAGCACCCGCCATGTGCCAGTCCTGTTCTTGCTCTTGGGGACACAACAGTCAGAGAGGATGGGGTGCCGACGATAAATGGGATACATCAGTAAAACATTAAGCACAGTAGTGAGTGGTAGGCACTAAGGAGAAAGACATCGAGTGGGGAGGAGAACTTGAAGTGTGGGGTGAGGGGCTGCTGATGTTTTTAGATGGAGTGGCTGGGAGGGCCTCCCCACTCCCCAGGAAGGTGGGTTTTAAATAAAGGCCTACAGTAAGCCAGTCAAGAGATTTCTGGGGAAACAACATTCCAGGTATGGGAAGCTCAGGAGCTGCATCAGGACAGGCTGGACGTGAGGTCTCAGTAGGCGTCCAGGTGGAGAGGTGGGGAGGCAGATGGGACATAGCCCCATGCTCAGGGCAGCCTAGGCTGAATATAGAGGATCATGAGAGCACATGGGCTGGGGACAGAGATCGTGGGAGGTGACCAGCACAGAGCCAGTCAGCGCGACCTCTTAGCCAATGCGATTTCCTCTTTTTCTTCAGTCAGTCATAGGTAGCGGCACCTGGGAGGCCATCACCTCAGAAAGCCCTGTGAAATCCCCGAGATTCGCCCTTCTGGACCTGGAGAAAGGGAAGTCGTATGTCTTCAGAGTGCGAGCAATGAACCGGTACGGCCTGAGTGACCCCTCAGAGACCAGCGAGCCCATCGCCTTGCGGGGCAAGCCAGGTACCCTCGTGATGTGGGGGTCGGGGAGGAGGCAGGCCAGGTCAGGCTCAGCACCTGAAGCTACAGGGACAAAGCCCTGCCCATTTCCCTGTCCCTGCTCCCTTCTACCCATCATGAAGCTGAAAAGCAATTCAATCTCAGACCTGGGGAGTTTTAAGACATCAAAAATCACATTTCTCATGGAGGGAGACAGCCTTCTGACCTTTTTTTTTTTTTGACATGGAATCTCGCTCTGTCGCCCAGGCTCGAGTGCAGTGGTATGATCTCAGCTCACTGCAGCCTCCACCTCCCAGGTTCAAGCGATTCTCCTGCCTCAGCCTCCTGAGTAGCTGGGATTATAGGCATGCACCACCATGCCCTGATAATTTTTGTATTTTTAGTAGAGATGGGGTTTCACCATGCTGGCCAGGCTAGTCTCGAACTCCTGACCTCATGATTCACCCGCCTCAGCCGCCCAAAGTGCTGGGATTACAGGTGTGAGCCACTGTGCCTGCCAGAGCCTTCTGCCTTTTTCCAGATCAGCAGTGCATGGGTTACAGAGTGCAGCTGGGTCCCGCACAGTGGCTGTGTGAGCAAGTGGTCTCTCTGTTCTACAGGTCTCTGGCCTGCCCCTAGATCCTTCACCTCACTCCCGAGCAGGCCCCTGCCCCCTGCCTGGTGGAGGCTGAGCTGTCCCACCTGAGCCCTGGCTTACCAGGCAGGACACCACTCATCTGCAGCATAACGGGGACCTGGGAGAGCCATTTCCAAGCTGCACACTTTGCTGTCCTCAGTGGCCAAACCCATTGTTTGAAAGACCCTCATTACTACTCCCACCTGCGGCTCCTTCCTGAGTCTCCCAATTACAACTCCATTCTGACCCCAGTTTCCCAGGGCTCTCACCTCTGAGGCCTCTGGATTCCGAGGTTCTTTACCCTGCCATGAGATTAGAAGGTTCCCTGTAGCTACCATCACCAACCAGCCCTTTAAGGAACTTTGCTACAGTGCCACCTATGCAAGAAAAGCCTGGTTTGCTGCAGGTCCCATTTGGGGAAGATTTCAAAGTTCTAGATTTGTTCTACTTCAGTAATTTAGAGGGTAAAAACTATACACACACACACACGGCACATATGAACAAGTTGGTGAGCCAGTGGTGTTTTTCTTTTTCTGGTTAGCATTTGAATCTGATTTGGGCCTGGCCAGTGAGCAGTTTGTCATTAGATGTGGGCAGTCTCTAGTCCATAAACCAGTCTTAAATTGCACCAGGCAAGGCTCTGGTATAATTCAGAAAGGAAGGGAGAGCAGAGCTAGAGGCAAAGCCTTCAAAGAGGTGAGAGGTGAAGACCTGGGACAGGCAGGACCTTAGGAAAAAGAAGAGAGGAAGAAAAACAGAGCAGGTCAAGAAACAGAAGCTTGGAGGAGTCCAACGTTTGGGGGCCAAAAGAAAATAGAGAGCCACCAAAGGATGCATTAGGAGTTTGAGAAGTAAAAAGAGAACTAGGAAGATCATGCACCTGCCATCCATCAGTCCATCTAGCCATCTATTCATCCATCCATCTAACTATCCATCCATTTATTCATCCATGTATCCACCTGTTCATCCATCCATTCATCTATCCATCCATCCATCCATCCAACCATCCATTCATCCAACCAACCATCCATCCATCCATCCATCCATCCATCCATCCATCCAATCAACCATCCATCCATCCATTCATTCAACCAACCATCCATCTATCCATTGAACAAGTTACAGTAGCCCCTACCTCAAAGAGCTTAGTTTTAGGGAGCCTGAAAATCAGTAAAGAAGTTTCAAAAAAAAGAAAACTGAGATTAAAGGTAAGGACTGAGGGAAGCTGTCAGATTTGGTGACTTTCAAGTGAGAGAGAGTGTGTGTGTGTAAGAATGAATGAGTGAGTGCTTTTGTGCTTTAGTGGGAAAGCAGAGATGTTCAGAGGCAAGGGGAGAGAGGACTTTTAGGGTACGCTTCTGGGCCTAGGAATGAGCTGCCCAAAGTCCCCGACAGGTCAGGAATTCATGCACCTTGATTGCTATGGGAGCTTCTCCTAGCCTCCCCCCATGCTCCTCCCCTTCCCTAGCCTGAGAGCCACATAACTCAGCCTTCTAATTCAGCCCATGTTTCTATTTTTTAGCTACCCTTCCTCCTCCAGCTCAAGTTCAAGCTTTCCGAGACACACAGACCTCTGTCTCCCTGACATGGGATCCCGTGAAAGACCCAGAGCTCCTGGGTTATTACATCTACTCCCGGGAGGTGGGGTCATCTGAGTGGCAAACAGTTAACAACAAACCCATCCAAGACACCAGGTACGTCTGCCCACCTGTATCAGTCTGTCCTCACACTGCTATAAAGACATACCTGAGACTGGGTAATTTCTTTTATAAAGAAAAGAGGTTTAATCAGCTCACAGTTCTGCGGGCTGTACAGGCTTCTGCTTCTAGGGAAGCTCCAGGAAACTTACAATTATGGCAGAGGTGAGGGGGAAGGAAGCATGTCTTACGTGGTGGGAGCAGGAGAGGGAGAAACAGCAAAGCAGGAAGTGCTACACACTTCCAAACAACCAGGTCTCATGAGAACTTGCTCCCTATCTTGAGAGCGGCAAAGGGGAAATCTGCCCCCATGATCCAATCTCCTCCCACGACATCCCTCCCCCAACACTAGGGATTACAATTCAACGTGAGATTTGGGTGGGGACACAGAGTCAAACCAGATCACCCTGCTTTCTGCACCAGAGCATCCTTGAAGTGGGGGGCGCCATAATGATAATGAAGCCCCACATTTCACAGTATTTCCCCTGAGCCAGGTACTGTTCTGGTATTTTTCATATGGAAGGTCAGTTGGTTCTACCTGCAAACCTATATGTGTAGGACTATTACTTTTATAGTCATTTTACAGATGAAGAAACTGAGGCATGGAGAGTTTGAGTAACTTGCCAAAGCTCCTGTAGCTTAGTAAGTGGCAGGACTGGGACTTGAACCCAGATGGCCTTTGTCAACAAATGCTTGCTAAGAATGTGCTATTTGTAGGACTCCGTGAACAGAGATGACCATGCCTTGCTCTCATCCCTCTAGGAGCTTAGAGCCAGAGAGAGGTGGGGAGAGCAGAGCAGTGGAGGGCTTTGGAGCCAGGGAGGCATGGTTCAGGCTCCACACCACCCCTCACCCATTCTGTATTAGTCAGGGTTCTCTAGAGGGACAGACTTAATAGGATAGCTGTATATATGAAAGGGAGTTTATTAAGGAGTATTGGGTGCCTCACACAATCGCAAGGTAAAGTTCTACAACCATCTGCCTGCAAGCTGGGAGCAACAAAGCTAGTCTGAATCCCAAAACCTCAAAAGTAGGGAGGCCAGCAGTGCAGCCTTCAGTCTGTGGACGAAGCTTGAGAGCTCCTGGCAAACCACTTGTGTAAGTCTGAGTACAAAAGCTGAAGAACTTGGAGTCCAATGTTCGAGGGCAGGAAGCATCCAACGTGGCAGAAAGATGAAGGCCTGAAGACTCATCCAGTCTCGTCCTTCCATATTCTTCTACCTGCTTTATCCTAGCCACGCTGGCAGCCAGTTAGATGGTACCCACCCAGACTGAGGGCAGGTCTGCCTTTCCCAGTCCGCTGACTCAAATGTTAAATCTCCTTTAGCAACACCCTCACAGACGCACCCAGGAATAACACTTTGCATCCTTGAACCGATCAAGTCGACACTCAGTATTAACCATCACCCTCTGAGCCTCAGTTCCCTCCTCTGTAAACCAGGAGGGTAGGGGTGCGTTCCTGGCCTCTTGATATTCCAACTCGCACTCCACTCTGAGGTTCCCTCCTCATTCCTGGGACGGAATGACCCTCGTCGTAGCAGGCACAGTGAGTTTTGGGGCTTCTGGGCTGGTAACTTCCCTTGATCTAGGAGCTCTGTGGGAGAGGGACCTTAGGTGATAATACCTCTTCCTTCCCTTTCCATCAGACAACTGGCCAAGCTTTGAACACACCTGGCTGGGCTGCCCTCACCCTGGGCCATGAGCCAAGGTCATCTGGCCGAGAAAAAGGAACAGGCCCGGTGCCCCACTGGTCTTTGGTGCCTCACGGTCAGCTGCAAGGAGTCCCTTGTACTTTGTTACTGGAAACAGTTAAAATTCCCAAGTTGGAGAATAATCAGGTTTTTGACTAATTAGCTCAGAGTCAACCTTATCCCTAGAAGACCTCTCCCCCTACTTGCATTCAGCTGTGCGTCCCTGAAGGGGAGGCCCGGGGTTGAAGGAGAGTTGGCATGAATGGAGCGGAATGCCCAGGGGAAGTAGCACACGGAGGTGAAGGCGGCATGCTGCTCTGGCATGTCCAGAGAACTTGTCCCATGGGTGCCTGTCACCTGTTACATGTGTCATGGCCGGAAAGAGGCTACACCCTGCTGCCCGGGAGTTGGAGCCTGGGCGACAACAGAAAGAGAGTTCAGTTGGGCTGTGGTGGTCCAGGTCACTGTGGAATCATCAGGCACTACAGAGCCTGGCTCACAAAAATGTCTGAAGGAGTAAATGAATGAGTGCTGAGTGGGCAGGTGCTGCACTGGCTCGGGAGACCTGGCCACCCTCTGGGCTGAGCCCCTAATTGGCTGTGTGCTCCTGGCCGTCTCTCCTGCTGTGGGAGTGCTTCCCTGCATGAAACATGAAAAAACTGGACAGTCTCATCCTTAAGGGCCCCTCCAACACCCAAGACTTTGTCTTCATCTCCAAAAGAGGGATACGTAACAGCATCTTCCCCAGAGGGTGTTGTGAGGAGTACCTGGTGGATAGACATGAAGTGAGTTCCAGACAAGGGCACACTGCCATTGCCATCATCATCGCTGTCATCTGTTGTCAACGGGGTCTGGTCTGGGAGTCATCCCAGCCTCCCCTGTTCAGGTGCTCCCTGACCGTCACCCCCTTCACTGCTCCCTTCATCCCATAAAGGCATGATCCCCCCTAAGATGCACTCGTCCCCAAGCAGAGAGCTTGCTGCTCTGTCAGCTGTCCACACTTGATGTGATTTAAGTCCTGGGGACTGCTCAGGGACCCCTGGCTGAGAGGAGCTCCGAGTACAGATTTGCTCTCGGAGAATGTTGATAGGTGAAGAGAGAGAAAGAGGTCCACAATTTGGGTTTTATCAAAAAAGGGACAGGATGAGAAGGACATTTTTCTCTAGGCCAGAGCACCCCTGCATGTCTCTGGATGACAGCTCCCTCTGAGGAGCTCTGAAAGGGCTCTGCGTTTTCGCGTCACAGCATGAGTGCAGGTATTAACCACCACTGCTTTTTCAAGGACAAAACCCAAAGTCCTGAAGATGTATCACATGGCACTGGGTCAGGAGTTGGCTCCCGTTGCTTCAGATTAGTACCTTTCCAAGTGTATTTGCATTTTATTGGTGGATCTGGAAAAGCAAACATCCTTTAAAACCCCTAGGACCACCTCCTCCACAGTGCCATTTCAGGCATTGCCGTGGGATCCAGGGCAATGCTTTTAGGAAGAATTGACCTGGCACCTTCAAATTCTACCACGCTGGGGACCTCTTATTCCACAAAGCTGTTCTAGAAAGTTTGGGAATGTCTCCAGGCTGTTTGTACATCCATGAAAGCTGCCCATTTCTCTCCCAGGTTTACAGTTCCTGGTCTGCGGACGGGCAAGGAGTATGAGTTTTGTGTCAGGTCAGTCAGCGAGGCTGGGGTAGGTGAGAGCTCAGCCGCCACCGAGCCCATCAGGGTCAAGCAGGCTCTGGGTGAGTGCAAGGGCAGGTCCAGCCTGCAAACCTCCCTGGGCTGGGCAGGGAGCTGGGGCTCATAGGCCACATCCTGGAGGGCCCAGTCCTGGTGGCTATTGGCACATATGCCCTCTGAGGGGAACTGGAGCTGGCCCTGGCCACCCTTCCCTTTGGGGAGGAAGTAACCCTGGCTTGAGCCCATGGAATGAGGCCCTGGTAGCTTCAGGGGGTGGGGAAGCACTCAGGCCCAGAAACCTGAGGCTCCGATGCCCTCCCTGGGCACAGACACTGCTGGCTCAGGGAAAACCCTCTGGAGTAGGGTGGGCACCCACTAGGGGAGGCTCATTGGCTCCCTCAGGGCCCACTGTCCAATCCAGCCACTCCCAGGGAGCAGCTGTCCTCATCTCCCTACCTCCCTATAGCTACCCCGTCTGCCCCATATGGCTTTGTCCTCCTGAACTGCGGGAAGAATGAAATGGTCATTGGGTGGAAACCCCCCAAGCGTCGTGGAGGTGGCAAGATCCTGGGCTACTTCCTGGACCAGCACGACTCGGAGGAGCTGGACTGGCACGCGGTCAATCAGCAGCCTATCCCCACCCGGGTCTGCAAGGTGAGGCTGGAAGGTGGCCACAGCCTGTGTCATGACTTGTTCAGCAGAGACCGGAGGCCAGTGTTTGAGTCTTGGAGTCTGACAGAGACTGACAGAGTTCTCAAGTTCCCCTGCCTCAGCCATCCAGCTCATTTTCCAGTGCAGACCCACCTTGAGCAGAACTGTTTAGAGCCCCCAAGAATCCTAACACTTTGCTGGGAGCAGTGGCTCACGCCTGTAATCCCAGCACTTTGGGAGGCCAAGGTGGGAGGATCACTTGAGGTTGGGAGTTCAAGACCAGCCTGACCAACATGGAGAAACCCCATCTCTACTAAAAATACAAAATTAGCCAGGTGTGGTGACACATGCCTATATTCCCAGCTACTCAAGAGGCTGAGGCAGGAGGATTGCTTGAACCCAGGAGGCAGAAGTTGTGGTAAGCCAAGATTGTACCATTGCACTCCAGCCTAGGCAGCAAGAACAAAACTCTTGTCTCAAAAAAAAAAGAATCCCAGCACTTTGGGAGGTTGAGGCAGGTGGATTGTTTGAGCTTAAAAGTCTGAGACCAGCCAGCAACATGTTCGAAACCTTGACTCTATAAAAAATACAAAAATAAGCTCAGTGTGGTGGCGTGTACCTGCAGTCCTGGCTACTCAAGAGGCTGAGATGGGAGGATTGCATGAGCTCAGAAGGTTGAGGCTGCAGTGAGCCATGTTCATGCCATGGCACTCTAGCCTGGGTGACAAAATGAGACCAAGTCTCAAAAAATAAAAATAAAAGCAAAGTCCCCACAGACCTCTTGCTCTGAGTCGCTCCCCACCCCCCACCACTGCCCCTGCTCCCCATCCCTCCCCCAGCCTCAGCCTCACAGTCTGTGTTTCTGCTCCTCAAGGTCAGTGACCTTCATGAAGGCCACTTCTATGAGTTCCGTGCCCGGGCTGCCAACTGGGCAGGTGTTGGTGAGCTGTCAGCACCCAGCAGCCTGTTTGAGTGCAAAGAGTGGACGATGCCCCAGCCAGGTGAGAGGCCTGAAGGTCTGAAGTCCAGCGCCTGCCCTTCCTTCCCCCCTCAAACCTACCCGATGAGATGAAGGCCACTGCAGTCCTCTGTGCATTCAGGCTTGCACTGTTTCGCCCCACCCCAGGCCCCTGCCCCTTCCACACACTGACTCTATAATTCCTGACACAGACAGAGTCCTCAGCCTGTCTTAAAAGACCCCTGATTGGCTGAGCGCAGTGGCTCACACCTGTAATCCTAACATTTTGGGAAACTGAGATAGGTGGATCACCTGAGGTCAGGATTTCTAGACCAGCCTGGCCAACACGGTGAAACCCCATCTCTACTAATAATACAAAATTAGCTAGACATGGTGGCACATGCCTGTAATCCCAGCTATTTGGGTGGCTGAGGCATGAGAATTGCTTGAACCCTGGAGGTGGAGTTTGCAGTGAGCCAAGATTGCGCCACTGCACTCCAGTCTGGGTGACAGAGTAAGTCTCCATCTCAAAAAAAAAAAAAAAAAAAAGGACCCCTGACCTGAGCCATCAACTGGCCCTGTACCCCCAGCACAAACTATTCCCTAACTCGAGACACTGCCTGAGCTTTGCCTCTGGCCATAGACCATGGCCATAGCGCACTGCTAAGATGACCAGCCAGTCCTGGTTCGCCTGAGACTTTCAGTTTACTACTGAAAATCCCATGTCCCAGGAACCCTCTTAGTCTTGGACAAATGGACAGTTGGCCACCCCACCCACTGCTCCCATAACCCTGTAAGCCTTCTCACAGATGAGCCCCTCACCTCCCGCTGAGGAAGGAGAACCATACCTTTCCATCACTTTGTTCAGCTCAGTTGTTTTCTACACAAAACCTCTACCTGAGTGGCAGATAATTACAACGTATGACGCTTTCGACAGCAACAATTATAAACAACTAATATTTATTGGGTACTTACTAGGTACCAGACGCTTTTCATAAATATTCTCCCTAATGCCACAGAAGCACTATATTATAGGAACTATTATTATCCCCATTTTACAGATGAGGGGACAGGAGCATAGAGGCTAAGTAACTCGCCCAGAGCCCCCATATCTGGAAAGGTTGGAGCTTCAACAAGAACCCCAGAGGTCTGACTCTGGAATTCACACCCTTGGCCCCGACACTAAACACGGAAGCACTTTAGAATGATTAATGCTGTCTGGGATGGGGACAGGGAAGGTCAGGGAAGCTTCCGGGAGGAGGGGAGGCTGAGCACATTTTGAAAAGTTAACCCCGTTTCAGGCCCAGAGCCAAGCTTTGTCATGATGCCAAGGCTGACCAGGGCTCGGTGACACCCAGAGCAGGCCCTTCCTGGCTTGATTGTGACTGATGGATTGACAAGCTTGCTGACTGACCACTGGGCTTGCTCTCCACCTGGCTGGCTGGCTGCCTGGCTGCCCAACTCATACATGTCTGCCCATCTCTCATTTCTCACAGGCCCCCCGTATGATGTCCGGGCTTCTGAGGTGCGGGCCACATCCCTGTTGCTGCAGTGGGAACCCCCACTGTACACAGGGGCTGGGCCTGTCACAGGTTACCACATCAGTGTCCAGGAGGAAGGCTCTGAGCAGTGGAAGCCGGTCACCCCAGGCCCCATCTCTGGTACCCACCTGAGGGTAAGTTCTTGTGCCTTCGTGCCCTGCCACTAGAGCATCAGAGATGGAATGACCACCAGACATCACTGCCCTTACTTAATGGCAGCAGAGGACCAGAGAGGGGAAGCGATTTACCTAGGGTCACACAGCAAGTTGGTAGTAGGTCTGGCTAGCTGGTGCCCATATCCTGCTCCCTGCTAGGCAGATGCCTCCCTAAAGATTCACTTGCTGCCAGGTGCAGTGGCTCACGCCTGTAATCCCAGCACTTTGGGAGGCCGAGGCAGGCGGATCACAAAGTCAGGAGATCAAGACCATCCCCATCAACATGGTGAAACCCCGTCTCTACTAAAAATACAAAAATTAGCTGGGCGTGGTGGTGCGCACCTGTAGTCCCAGCTACTCGAGAGGTTGAGGCAGGAGAATTGCTTGAACCTGGGAGGCAGAGGTTGTGGTGAGCCGAGATCGTGCCATTGCACTCCAGCCTGGGCAACAAGAGTGAAACTCTGTCTCAGAAAAAAAAAAAAAAAAAAGACTCAATTCTATCAGCCAGATATATCAGCCTGTGCACAAGCATACCCCTTGATCCAGGAATTCTGCTTCTGGGACTGAATTATAGAGAAGTAATTAGCAAATGTGCAAAGCTCTAAGGACAACGATGCTTCTTGATCCTTGTTGCTAATGGCCCAAGCTGGAAACAACTTAAACGTCCATTAGTAGGGGGGTTGCTTAAGTTAACCACAGTGCACCTTAAAAGTGGAATCCTGTGCCAGGCAGTACAAAGAATAAGGCAATTAAAGGAACAAAACAGTATAAAGAGTGGAGATGGGCAGGGCTTGGTGGCTCATTCCTTTAATCTCAACACTCTGAGGAGGCCAAGATGGGAGGATTGCTCAAGCTCAGGAGTTCGAGACCAGCCTGGGAAACATGGAGAAACCTCATCTCTACAAAAAAAAGTTTAAAAATTAGCCAAGTCTGGTGGCATATGCCTGTAATCCCAGCTACTTGGGAGACGGAAGTGGGAGGACCACCTGAGCCCAGAAAGGTCCAGGCTTCAGGGAGCCATGACTGTACCACGACACTCCAGCCTGGGGGACAGAGCAAGACCCTGTCTCAAAAAAAAAAGATGAATGAGGTGGACCTACATGTATTGTGCATGTACTGACACAAAAAGATATCTATCCTACGTGGCTAAGAAAAACAAAGCAGGCCGGGCACGGTGGCTCAAGCCTGTAATCCCAGCACTTTGGGAGGCCGAGGCGGGTGGATCACGAGGTCAAGAGATCGAGACCATCCTGGTC